GGTCACCTCTACCACTGGGCATGTCTTTATAGAATGCATCACATTCAGAGCTTGGCCCATGCTCTTTCCAAACTCCAGAGTAGCCTGAACTATGGGGCGGGGAGCTTATTTTCTTCTCCATTGACTGTTTAGGTAACGGGCAGGAGCCAGTCTGGGCCAAGAGAATCCAGGCTGTTTTATGCCAGCAATTTGCGGCTGACCATCTTCACAGACATCGTTGTTCTCATAAGTTGCTCACGACAGGTATGTCCAGTGTCCGAGGAACCCGATTCACGACCTGCCTGCCAGATGCTGACCTGCTTCCCGCAGTAAAGCTGTTGATCGGCTTGCATGAGATTGATTCAGAGCAAAACTGGACTGTGCCTGCACAGAGGAGCTAACCGTTTACAGGGGAGCCCCCAACTTAATGTCTTAGCGCAGGATGACAGATCTTTGCCTCGTTTTGGTCTGATTTGCCTTTGGAAAGGGGAGAATGGGGTCTGTGAGCCTCAAATACTGTGGCATACTATTTGTAGTTCTAAGTTGCTGTGTTTTAGGGTAATTTGTACATAGCAATAGCTAGCTAATACCAGGTGTGGTGGAAGTCAAAACATTAGCAAAAGTCCACATTTCAAGGCAGGGAACCCTCACAAAATGTTCCTGTTCTCATACTCTGAAATCTTAAGTAAGATTTTTAAAATTAATCACTTAGTGTGACTAATTAAAGGCTTTAAAAGTGCAAAAGTAAAAAGTATCAACCATAAGGAACACAAAGTTCACACCAGACACCAGATGATTGGAATCCATTTCATTGGCATGACAAGTTTTTATTTGGAATTTAATCCACAACCCATACAAGTTATTTACAAGGCATGAAAATGAAAAACAGCACAAAGTACAATTGAGGTATAAGCTAAAAGCACAGTATGTTATGCTTCAATAAATAGAATTCAAAATTTGTAAACTAAGTGACCAGATAGATGAGTCTGGTTTATAAAACCATATAAAAGATTTCTTTCACGTGAGGTAGAGGACAGTTCTGTGTCTTATAATGCAACCAACCACAGCAATTTTAACCATAAAACTGTACATCATTGGCAAAACTTTAAATTGAATTATGGTCAATGCAGTCAACAATTTCAACAGATGCAGAACAGATCATTTACTGCCTTAACAGATTAGAAAATCAGAAATAACATACAAGACTACTGCATTGGTATAGAAGTTATCAAGATAAACTAGTAGTACTAAGAGGATGCTTAAAAGCAAATGTTTCTCATAAACTATAAATCCCAAAAGATGTCCTAGATTAAGCAATTCTTTTAGTGGGATCTTTCTACCAGAACTACTGTCAGTTGCTGTGCTTTATATTTTCAAGTGAGGTATCTATATTGAAAAGTCTTATAAATTTCTTTTACACTAAACTAACTTCATATACTACTTTGTTTTCTGGGCTTTTTGTCATTTTAGTTTTTACATTTGCTCACTAATTTAAAAACACTACGTAAGACATTTAATTCTATCTAACACTAAAGAAATAGGCTCCCAATTGTGTTGTGTAGCTCAGACACAATTCAAGGAAAAGGTTTTATCAGTTAAGAAAAAAATAAAAAACTGCCCTTTTATACAAAATGCTGTATAAAATACTCATACAGTGTTCTTCCATCAACAAAAATGCTTAAGTATCCTATACAAGAAAACAATTTTAAACTGTTTAAATTAACTCGATCCCACTACATGGAACACAGCAGTTGAGTGTCCCTTATTGCTGGCAGCTTCAATAAAAACTATTAGTAAGTAGTTCCAAGCACAGAAATGGATATACAGTACAAGCACAATTATTCATTGTATCAATTTTTATTGTCCTGTCATGTGGATTATATGCATAAAGAGCAAATAAAGGGAGGAATTTGTCCCTAAGTAATCAAAATAGAAATCTGATCTTTGAGAGGAAAATTTCAGAAGTTAATAAAAAACCTTCAGCACCACCTTTCCAATTAATTCTAGGTAAATATGTATTTTTCATATTACTTGAGTTTGCTTAACATTTTACTTTCCTTCAAAATGAAGCCACAGATGTGCAAATAAACTGGTTATTCCCTCATGACTTCTAAAACATATGGGTAATCTACAAGTATTATTTTATTAGCTCTATTTTACTTACTTTACTAACCACTTTATAATTCAACATGTATAAATGATTTTACGTCTAGACTATTAATATATTAAATATATTATAAAATTAGTTCAAGAAGCAAAAAACATCCTAAGTCTCATGTACACAAAGATTCAAGCCAAAGAATGTGTGCTACAAAAACTAAAGTCCAAGCCAAATTTCAACTGATGGTCCAATCCTTCTTTTCCTGCTTCAAGTTCTATTTTGCGACTTAGAGCTTCTTCAACAACACTGGATAGTTCTTCGTGTCTACCTCTATAAATGTGGTACATCTCTCACGCGTATAAAAACTATCACCACCAAAATTAAACAGGACTCATCACCCATCAAGGTATTATTTTAACTTTCCTTCCTTCTAAAGATGGCCTAGCACAACTTTTTATAGGCCATTTCTTTAATGCAGCTTTTAAAAGTAAACATTTTTTATATTTTTTTTCTTAAAAGAATAACATTACGAAAATATTTGCTTACCTAAAGAATCTGGCACACACAAAAACTATGTCAAAACAAACCTTAAGCTAGTAACCAACACACAAAATAGCATGCAAAGAATAAATAGTATTACAAAAATTTCTGTATTGTTTTTAAGCTAATGGTTTCAATTGTATGGAACAGTTAAACATAAAATTACTTTTCACTAGAACCAGCATAATATTTACAATTGATTAAAAACTATTTTAAAAACCTATGGCACACCACTGGTATCTTTTGTAAAATGAAGAGCATACAAGTGTCATGTGGCAAGTTTTCAGTATGGAAAGAACTAGAAAAAATCTAGACTCAATCCTAAATTATGATTGTATAATAATTTAATGGTGTGTTAAGCACTGCTAGAATTTTAAAATAATGTACCTCAAATATTAAGTAGTTAATTTTAACTATTTTGGGGTTGTAAGTTCACTTATTTACTAATAATTCAGGTTGAATGGATTAGAAAATGAAATATAAGATGTTCAATTTGTTTTCTAAAAACTAAGTGGTGACATTTAACTCATTACTAAAACTGTATCATAAATGTCCTGTGAGTTGTTTTTTGTTTTGTTTTTTCTTTCTCCAGACCTAAGCAAAAGATACTGAGAGGGCATGTCATTTTTTAAAGACATTTCTTCTTAAAGAGATTCTAAGAATTCACAAATTAGCCACTGGTTTAATACAGTAAAATTTAAATGAAAAGCAGAACACACAAACACACACAGATCATATCATTTAGTGGGAAAAAAAATTTTTTGAAACATCGGAGTACCATTAATCAAAACAAGGAAAACTGGCTAAATGATAATCTAGTGATTTTAAAAGTCCTACACCAATCTAGTATCCATCTTCTATTCTGGAATAATATATCATCTTAATCCTACTAAATTTATTTTTAGAAACAAATTTTGCTTTCTTAAGTAATCTCATACAGTACCTCACAAGGGAATGCATGAAGCATAAAAATACCCTAGGGGTAGTTTCAGAATAAAAAGTCACCAAGAACAGCCGGTCTTCCCGGAGGTCTAGGAGGCTGTAAATCACCGGGGAGGAGACGATTCAGCTTCTCCCACAGACCCACCATAGGAGTCAAAGAGCCAGAGGTATCAGCTTTGGGTGAGAGGTGCAGCCCATACAGACCGCACCAGAGTCCAGAGGTCTTCTCAACCGAGGATCAAATAATCCAAAATTTGCTATGAAATAAGACTTTTCTGTGCAAAAAAAACCCAAAACACACCAATAAATAAAAGTGCAAAGATGTCACCTCTTTCTAAACTATGGAATTCCTTTACCTTCTAAAAACCTTACTAAACACTTTTCTAACTAAAGTTAACTAAACTTTCCTATGTTACCTAAGCCATACTACCAAGTAACTGTAAATTTCTGATTTTAACATTAAGTATTAATTAAAAACGGCCCATTCATACAAGTCTTGGTAAGATTCATCTTATTATTTAGATGTACAAAATTCCAAAATAAAACCTTCAAAATGTTTACTATTTTACAATTTACAGGAAAACAAATCTATTCTATACATTTCAATAAAAGCCAGAACTTTATAGAAAACTGTACAGGGGAATTATGCGTTCCATAGCAATGACTACACATCAACCAATTACATTCACACCACTATTAACAAAAGTTCTGGAAGTATAATTTTCTTATTCCCTCTTATGAAGTTGCTATCTTAAAAAAAAAAAAAAACCAAAAGAACTCTAAGTATAACCACAATGGAACTGAAAACCAATTGACAAGAGTCTTCTTAGCAGCGGTCCCTAACAGAGCCCTGTCCTTCTGCACTGCACCCACAGGCTGAGCTGTAGCCTACAAATGGAATTCCTCTTTGCACAAAATGCCTTAGGACACTAAAAAGAAGGGAAGTGGTGGAAATTCATCCCATAATCGGTACAAAATAAAAGCAACACTGTGCATATAATAATGAATACAGCAAGACAGGAGACTGTGTTCATGAAAAAAAAAAAAAAAGAAAACCAACTCAGGGACACGAAATATATAAAAGAAAAACGAACCAACCAATGCAAAAAAAACCGAGAAAGAAATACAAAAAAAAAAGAACACAGATATCCCACAACACACAATAGAGCTAAAAAAAAATACAAAACTGAAAAGTGCACAACAAAAATAGACACAGCATATACAAGAGGAAAAAACACACAATAGTGATAAAAACACACCAGGGGGGAAAAAACATTTGCAAAATGTAAAAATTCATTATCTAATATATAATCTTTCATTAGCTCTGCTCTACAAATGGAGAGAATGCCTTGCTATCTTCATACGCATCAGCTGTTCCCAAGTCTACTAGCAAACGAATCGACAAAAACCCTGTCAGGTGCAGACAGGTAGAAGGGTTCTACTCTTTAGCCGTCTTGGAGGATTTTAAAATCTGCAGCTTGAGCTCTTTGATCATCATCTCGAGCTTCTGCCTCGCCTCCCGCTCCTGCCGGAGCTCATCCTGCAGCTCCTGCCGGTCAGCCTCCGCGTGGTCCAGTCTCTGCCGCAGCTCTGCCAGCTGTGGGATTCAAAGAGCTTGTCAGTGGGCAGTCAGTCTGGGTCTCCACTTAAGCCGTAAAAATCTACTTCAAACACTGTCTACAAAATAAACTCCATGTTTAAGGCTATCTCCCAAATACTGACGACTTTCAATTTGACGTTTGACCTGACACGAAATCAGAGTAAAACAAAGGTCAAGGCAAGTATACGCTTCTGGCGCCCTCCCTCCGCCCTAAACTAGACTATCGCGTTCATCACTCCGTAGGTGCTCCAAGCAGTTATTTGGCTATCACCCCTAAAGTTGTGCTACAATTAACAGAACACAGCCGCACATTCATTTCTGCTAGGGCTTCAGAGCTGGCTGCCCTCAGGTTAGCAGCGCAATTCTCTACAGACCACACCATCGGCGTTCCCCATATGCTTGGAGAGACTGGCTTAGATGTGCATCTGCTCCTCACATAGCGACTCGTTACTTGACACTTGGCATTTAGGATAATTAAAAATCTATTTTGCCTTTGCAATATACACCTGAGAGTAACGACCACCAAGGTGCTGGGTGAGAGGAATTCTGGCTGTCATAGGGTTACGGTTAAATGTCAACTGGGCCATGATTCTTAGTGGTTTGCAGTTAGCTATCAATGATGTCAACTCAAACACTAGCATCTGTTCATGTAAGGCCAATTTTCACCAGACAACTTGGCCTTTGGAACATAACTATTTCAGTAAGTGAGAAGGAGGTATGTAACTGCTATGCAGAGAGAGACAAGCAATTTAGTCACTGAAATATGGAAGCCCAATACAAGTTTAAAATAAAATAATAAAGATATAAAATCAGGAGCTCTGGTGGCCTAGTGGCAAGAAGCTACACTGCAATCCCAGAGGTGTGTGGTTCGAATCCACCAGATCCTCTGCTGGAGAAAGAGGGGCAATCTCCTCCTGCACCTGTCATATCTGATTTGATGATACACGCACACAATGATAAAAAAATTTTTTTTAAAAAGATATAAAATTGTGGAAGAGGGCTGTGCTTCACAGAATAATCTCCTCTGTAATCTATCCTAATGGAAGGAGCCTGACCCTAAAGAACTCCTTTAATAGGAACAGGACAGAACCTGTCATCATCTCTAAGTTGAAGGGGCAGCGTTCCATCAAACGGGGCATTCTCACCTGTGCCGCATATTCAGCCTCTCTGTCATTTTCAACATTTGAGTCACAGGTACACTTTTGCTTCATCACCTGCTCTAGTTTTTTCTCCAAGTCTCTCTGCTCAATATAAAATTCTTCCATTCTTTGAGCATGTTCATTCTGCAAAGATTCCAGCTCCTTCTGCAAATTCTGTTGTTCTTCTGTGAGCTCCTTCATAGTTTTTGAACTACTCAACATTTCCACTTCCTGTATTGTAAAGAAACACCATTTTTATTTTTTAGGTTGAAAATTTTAGTTCAGAAAAGCTTAAAAAACAGCCCACAATCAGTTCAATATAAATGTGATTTAGAATATGGAACTTTATTATCATGAAAACTATTTACTCTGAAGAGTTTAAAAGTATGCTATAATTATTTAGTAATGTAAAATTCGAACAATTTTAAACTGTTCTTGCAACACATCATCTTGATTTTTCCTAAGAATATGCTAAAGTATCTTTTCATAATAGATTATCATTTAGATAAAAACCTTACCATCTTAAGTTGTTGCTTCTTCTGCAAAATTGAGTTCAATTTTTCCTGTTGTTTTACAAAAGTTTTCATTACTTCTTCCACAATTTTCCCTTTATCATCCTCACAAATGACATCCTTATCAAGAAGTGGAGATAAAGCTGCAGCATCTTGACCAATTTCTTCTTTGCTAGTGTCTCTCACTAAGCTGCTAGCAGCAGACTTGAATTTTTTAATTATAGGACTACTTGAGATTGATGGATCTTTGGAAGACACAAATAAAGAAGCAGAAAGTAAGAAAATAATTTTTGTCCAAAAATCACTAAAATAATCCATAAATTAAAAAGCACACATACTAAGAAATAAATTTACATCTAAAACATGCAAAATTTGTGCACAGAAAATTATAAAGCATCACTGCTCCTGGGTTAGAAGACTTAATATCATTAAAAAAAAAAGACTATCCAATTTGAGCTATTTACTCAACACAAGCCCTATTAAATCCCAGATGGCTCTTTCACAGAAATGATAAATTGTTTCTAAAATTTGTGTTGAAATGCAAGGAGGGATCCAAAAGAGCCAAAACAATCTTATGGGGCTGTGAAAAGTCTATCTACAAGCATTTAAAGAATGAGATTAAACACTATCCTACGTCAAATGAGTCAAAGACCTAGAGCTCCAACTCACAAATGTAAATTTTCAGGACTTCCATTAGGCGATAATTTCTTAGCCCTGACACCTAAGGCAAGTAATCAACTAAAAATTAAGACACATTAAATCTCCTCGAAACTTTTTGTCTCAGAAGGCTCAATGTAGACAAGTCATATCATAATCCAAGTGACAATTCATATATCAAAAAAAGGTTTAATATAGAGAATATATAAATTCTTACCACTGAACAACAATAAAAAGACAGATGATCCAATTTAAAAATGGGGAAACTATCTCAAAAGACATCTCCCTCAAATACATACAAAATGGTAAATTAACCCATGAAGACATTAGTAACCCTCACTGATCACTGAGGAATTACAAATCAAATCCACAATGAGGTACCACTTAACAACCCCAAGTATATAAGACAGACAATGCAAGTATTGAAAAGAATGTGACAGAGCAAAGGGAGGAAGAAAAATCAAACAAGAACAATGTGCAAAAGCTAAACCTACTGGTCTCCTGAGCCTGAAGCTATCACCATTAAAAACAGCAGCTGAGGTTCAAAGTAACCACCCACAATGAAAAAGAAACTTTTTGTCTAAAGTTTCAATTATTCTTCAAAAACTCCTCTCTGATAATACTTAATTAAGTTTGTTTAGTAGAGATTTTGGTGCTTTATTTTTAAAAGCGAATTCGTGAACACTCACCAAAATGGTTATCTAATTCTCTACTTGCTTTCACATCCAGCTTCTCCTGTTCCTCGAGTGACACGTCCGGGTAGGAGCCCGGCTTCTGCTTTCTGTCGGCGCCGTGCAGCTTCTCGGACTGTCTGGGGATGGACTTACTGGCCTCTGTCTTTGTAACATCTTTACACTGGGGTCCAGCAGAAGTAAGAGACACGTTCGGAGCAACCACTCTGTCACACATGTATAAATAGTAGCTGAAAATAAAATACAAACACACGACATGAATTATATTACATTTAAGTAAAAATCAAAAGATTTTAAAGTATATTTTTATGATTAAACAAACGATTCTAGAAGAACAGACAAAACTCAGAAAAGGTCTATACAAAACAGTGAAAAAACTCAGTTTTTAGCAGAAACTATATTGCATTGTTGTTGCTAAGTGCAATCGAGTCGCAGAAAACTCATAGTGACCTTACGAACGAAAGACCTGGACACTTGTATAACTTTCATCCTTTCTCCAGGTTCATAGGGTTTCTGGAGACAAGCTATTTCGGAAGTGGATGCCACTCTTGCTTCCAAGCTTGTTTTAATCAGGAGTCCACCAAACACTGCAGTAGGGACTCTTTTCAACCCAAACCTTCCCTGAAGGCAGGGACACTGTTCTCTTTGCTGTAGTAAGCTCCTTTAGTCCCACCCTGATGTGCCAGAGCCTGAGTTCACCACGAGCCGCAGAGGGGCTCTCTGCCAGGGCCCTTAGAAAGCCCAAGAGGGCAGGTGCTGTAAACCATGCACTGAAGCCCACAGGGAAAGCTTCCGGAAATAGGTTAGTACTTCCTCCTTATTTGATAAAATGTCAATAGTAAACTGTGAAAACTGAGGGATAGCAAATTATGTTCAAAACTCATTAAGTAAATTATCTGAGAAGCGTATGGGACAAATCTGAGTAAAATATTTAAGCACCATAATTTTAACTATAATGAATGTATCAGACAATATAATCATTTGAGCCAACACTTCACCCTTTAAATTCCAGATAATCTCCCCTTACATCTTACTTTCTGTAAGAAACCTGTATTGTTCCTTTTTTAATTCATCATATGAATACTGAATATTAAAAACTCATTATTCTGCTAAGAATACTAATAAGAGTATGGCCCCGAAGAATGCATCCACATGCAGTAAGCATAACTCAGTAATAACTGTGTGAATGTAAGTTAGACTGAGACTTCATCACCATGCTTGGAGAGGATCCTTGGACAACATGGGCTTGTGAGGGTCCTCTTACATTTGGATTTTTTTCCTCCTTATGAGGTGAACTCAACTTCTGCATGTGTCTGTAACACTTTGAGGTACTGACCATCTATACATGAGTAGCTAGTCTGAGTATCACTTTTTGTAAAAAGGATTTTCTTCATTTTCTGGTGTTTGTTCTACAATCAACTACACTTACAGCAGCAGACTCTTTAAATATATAGTTATATTTTTTATAATAATAAAATAATTTATCTTTAAAATAGCACAGTTAAAAAAAAATAATAAAAAAATAAAATAGCAAAGTTACATACTGAATTCCTGAAGATTTGGGTTACTTCTTAAAAAAAAGAGAGGAAGAATTGTCATTATTTATCTGCAGAGTACCTGAACTTTCCAATCATGTAATTAGAGCCATTAAAATAGCAAGAACCTATTAAAAAGAAAATGAGCTAGGTCTGGGGTGGTGTAGAGGGGGAACCATATAGTCAGAAACATCAAGTAAAGGTTATTTAAAATATTCAAAACAGTTCATTTCATTGCCTATTATCTTCACACTTTTTTGAAGCAGAAGAACCCATACATACTTTCTCAACCAAGATAAATGAGCAGAAAAGTACTAAAACAAATGTACTTTTTATTGAAATCTGCATTTTCAATGATAATCTCTGATTAATAAGAAAATCAGAAACTATGATGAATCCCAAGCCCTATAACAGTTATCTAGCAAATACTGTAAATGTTCAAGGAGTAACTGAATGCTCACCTAGGGTGCAAAAATGAGTGTGTCGGAGAAACATCTTCACCTTCCTGCTTTATAACAGGGTACCAGGACCTTAAGTCCATTTCTGATGATGTATCCATCTGTAGGGAGGGGAAAACAGGGGGAGAAATACTTAGACAAAGAGCAGGTGCATTACTTAAGGGCCATTTGTTATAAGGAAGTCTGTGCTAAGATGACCACATCCAGTCTCTTGGACAGAAACTCAGACAAGGCTACAGGAACTATGCAACCACAGTACCAGTTTCGGTACAGTTGTTACAGATTTACAGAAATAAGTTCACATTTATGAAATGTATTCTAAAAGCCGATTTTAAAGAAGGTTACTGTCATTGTGTGGACCCTTTGAACAACAGACCTGAGCCCTGCTCTGTCTTGTGCCCTCACCATCTCTGATATACTTGAGCCCACTGTAATCTCAAAATTGAGTAACTCTGGTATTTACTGTTGCTGCAATAACCAGTTCATTTTATTAGCATATTAACCAGATAACATTTTATAGTCATAACCATTCTGCAAAACTTAATCCAAAATCTTTTTGTGAGAACTTATCAGTAAAGCCTATTTTCTCATAAATAGGAAAGAACTTTTCTCTAGACCTAAAGGAGGAACTGTATTGGTAATAAGGCAGGTGAAGAGGCAGCAGAGGAAGGTAACTGACAGCTTATGAGAGAGCTCTACCTGTGGAGAACATCAACAAACACTCTACTAAGTAGGGCCCGGTATCTCATTTATACAGATTAGAAAATTGAGGCTCCAAAATTCAAAGTGAATAATCTAAACTTATGAAATTCTCCTCTTATTTTCTTTCTATTCATGTATATCCTTTTCTCAATCGTCATCTCCAGACATTTTCATTTTAGTAACTCAAATCACACTTTTGACAAACTCCTCAGTAGAAGTTCAGAATCTGGCACAAATTCAGCTAATTTATAAAATAAATATTCATCTACACAGTACATCAGAAAGGGAATTGGCTGCTACACCAGAAATTTTGAGAGATGTACGGTGACAGGTGGCAATCGAAGGAGAGATGAGAACTACAAGACTCAAAAACTAATTTAGAAGGTAAGGCAGCCCACAGGTTTTAGCACAGACCAGGGTAAAGAATGTGAGTACTTCAACTGCTTCCCATCTCCAACATAAGAGAATGTAATAACTGATATTTAAGGTCAGTAAGACATAGTTAAACTGCCATTTAAAAAGACATATCTATTTATGATATTTTAGAATTTCATAAAGATGAAAGCTACCAAAAAAAAAAAATCCACCCCAAAACCAAAACCACCCAGTGAGTGCCTGAAAGAGTAATCTTTATCTAGCTTGTTATTACTGAAAACTTAGAAAATTCAGATGACAACATCAAAGCCTCAAAAACCCCTTTAAAACATCATGAACTGCTCCACAGAAGGGCAGTCTCCTGCCATGTGATTACCTGCCTCTGAAAAGCCACTGGAGGGTCAGCCATGGGTCGGTTCCGACTGCCCAGGACACAACAACAATCCTACTGCCCAGATCTCTAACCAGTGTTCGAGTTTCCCGTGCAAAATCCCCGACAAGAGGCCATCCAGCTTCTGCTTCAACAGCAGCTCCAAGCTAAGGGCTAACTTAGGTTTGTATTCTCAGTGTCTAGAACTCTGTCTGGCATACAGTGGAGACTCAATAAACATGTGTTGAATGAATTTTTAATGAAAGGCAAGCACATTCATTCCCAGGGTAGCCTCTTTCTAGGGAATTTACTGCTACTAAGAAACAACATCTCTCACATTAAATATCCTTCCACTGCACGAATCACCAAAACCTAACAATGTTTGTACTACATTTTTAAACAGCAGACGCTATAAGTTTACTTAAATAATACAAGTTATCATAAATAAACAACAGCAATGATGATAAAAATACATGGAGCTACTTTTGGCTAATATGCTATGGTATAAGCGTTTATAACAAATTATCCTGGTTACATGTTAAGAACAATTAAGAAAAGCACATATTACACATTCATGGGATGCCAGATTTTCTCATCTATTCTGCATTTGTGTCAACATACAAATTAGATTTTTTTAAAAAAGAATATAAAGGCACAGCAGTAATGCTACTGATCACAATGAAAATTAGAAATAAAGATATGATCATCTACAGTCTTTTTCTTACCTTTAAACAAGGCAGGAACTTATTCCCTTTGTGGATTACTTAAACATTAAAATATATTTTATTACTTCATAAAGGGAGAAAGGAGACCATTTAATAGCTTAATGTTAAGGCCTTCACATTTTTAAAATGCTTTTCTCTCTCACTTTGTCTCCCATTATCTATTCTTAAGTGAACAGATGGAATCCTCATTTAAAACATATAAGCAAAATTTCAGACATTTCAAGGTTTTCTCTAAACCATTAAATTCTAAAGAATATCTATGAATGCAAAATGTAAACTCCCAAAATTTATAGTTGACTTAACATGAGTAAAAATGAAATGTTATGAAACACTTATCTAAATTCCTCTTACGTTGTCTACAAGAGCTTTAATAAGTGTCCCTAGTAAAAATCTATTGTATTTTTGGCTGTACAATCTTTACTAGCCTCAAAATTAATGACAAGTAGATTGCAACATCTCTATTACAGTGGATCTGAACTCCCAGTAAGTGCTGTGACACCAGGGCTCTGTTCCTAAAACACAGGGGGCCTAATTCCCAAAATCATTAAAGATTTTCAGAACAATCATGTCACCAGAAAGCGAGTATCCACAAGTCTGGTCATTAATTACAGTGAGCTCCAAACCCCTGACCATCCAGAACTCATTCTACAACAAAGAATAAGAAAGGAGAAAGGTACCCACACAGCTACCTTTTTCCCCAGTCTCTACCTTAAAATCTCCATGTGATCTTGGTCAAGTAATCAGTTTGGGTATCGCCTCCAACATAACCAATGCACCTTTCTTTTTCTCGTAGTAAACCTGTTTCACACTTCTTTCTAGCATACCACATTTTAGTCAACAAAGGTCTTTTGAGTTTAATTACTGTGTAATAAAAGCTATTAAGAAAGGTGTGTGAATGTAATACCTACTGTGTCTTAGAAAGGTATCCATATAATTCTAGATCATCAAAAACACGTCTGGGAAGTGAAAGAATTTCTATTAGATTCTTCAGCAAGTTTGAAATGCCATCCCACATTTCTATAATAAGTCACTGATTTTGAATTAGAACTGACAGTGGGTTGTTGTGTTGTTGTTTTTTTTCCTCTGTGTGTGTACTGTCAAATCAGATCTGACTGGTACAGGAGATGGCCCCTCCTGCTCTTGCAGAGCATCTGGTGGATTTGAACCACGTTTCTCTGGGATTGCAGTGCAGCTTCTTGCCACTAGGCCACCAGAGCTCCCCGACAGTGGGTTTTTGAAAGCTATACATCCTTGGAAGGAGAATGCCTACCTTTCTCTGGTGAAAGCTGGTAGATTCGAACCCCCTACCAGAAGTGTGACCTTTTGGCAAGCAGGGTAGCTCTCCAAACTAGGCCACCACTTCCAACCAAAAGGTTGTCATATCCATTCTCTTATGAGCAATTAATCTTATTCAACTGTTTATTTGCAAATTTTCAAAAACATATTTGAAAGTACTCAGAACAACTCAATATGGCAAGATGGAAGACTCCTAGCTGATCTTCAAGTGGGGTCTCAGAGATCGTAAATCCCATGGGAGGACACTGTCCGCCTTTCTTGACCGGAGCACCTGGTGGATTCAAACCAGCTGCCTTTGGGTTTGCACTGAGATTCCTTATCTTCTAGGCCACCAGAGAGCTCCCTGTACTATCATCTGTCTGTACTACCAGTACAGATTCATGTGTTCATAAAAACATGTATTCAACTAGAAAAACACAAAATTCAAGAGGGCTTTTTGATAGGGCAGGCAATAAAATGGGGTTTAGAAAAAAAACAACAACAGCAAACCCACCCAAAACAACAACTCCAAACTCATGGAAATATTTATGACTTTAACAAAATACTGTCAAATCTGCCACAGTTACTTCTGGAACACATTTTACTGCAACAATCTGTAGTTGCCCATGGTCTCCAATGTATTCTCTTCATTTATTTGGGCTTCTGCTGAGGGGTACACTTCCTGCACAAATGCTGATGGCCTAGCAGTGGTAGAAAGCTATACTGCCAAGCCACAGGCAGGTGGTCTCACACACCAGATGCTCCCAAGGAGAAAGACCGGCCAATCTGCTCGAGGGTCAGCTATGGGCCAGTTCCAACTCAAAACCAAAGAGACACAGAGGACAGCAGGGAGTAAGAGGAATGACGTGTTCCAAATTATTAGTCTCAAATGAAGATGTGAAATAAAAATACAAAAACTGAAGCTAATGAAATGGTTACTATGTCTAAATGGAAAATTTCAATTTGCTCTGTATACACACATGTGTGTGTGTGTGTGTGTGTGTGTGTATTTTATAAATAATCTAAAAATCCAAAGTCACTACTTACAAGTAGATTCCTACTCTCAGGAACCTGGTAAGGAACAGCAGAACTATTGTACTTACCAAAGCATTGCCCAATCTGAATATTAGAACTCTAAATTTTCAGACAAAAATCTCTAATTTAGTAAAGCAGAAATTATAGCCCACATGCTCCAAACAGTAAAGAATCAATCATCTGTAATTATCTAACTGGCTATCAATGTGCCTAATGTTGAAAATAATGTCTCTTAAATAAACATCAGCCTTGAAAATTTATTTACAATTTGCTTAATGACCTTTTTACTAAAGATATAAATCAACAAAATCAGAATTGGTGCAAATAACCATCACAGATATTTGTTAAAAAAAATCAACATTGACATTCTTGCATATTATCTATGTTTTGACAAAGACAACCACCAGTTTTTCTAATAAAAAGCAAAGAAAATGTAAACGGATGTATAGAGATAAATGTGATTTTGTTGTTGTTTGTTGTTATGTGCCATCGAGTCGCTTGCGACTCATAGCGACCCTATGTACAACAGCCCTAAACTCCGCTCTGTCCTGTGCCAATCGCACTGTCCCTGACACTCCCATCCCAATTACCCCAGTGACTGAATCAATCCACCTCACAGAGGGCCTTCCCCTCCTGCGCTGTCCCTTTTGCAAATCATACCAAACAATCAAAATCAAGCATATTTCTTGTGGCAGCTTAAAGAGAGTTCAAAACATACCTTCTTCGTAACATCTAACAATAAAACAACAGGTATCAATGAAAAATCAAAACAAAAAAATCATACCTTCTACTGAGACTAGAATTCAATTATTCACTGAGAGCACCTTTTATCACTTCTCTCACCTTAGTTATTAACTATACAAATTAATATAGCTATTACAAATAAATCATGAACTCATCATTACTAACATTTCAGTCCTATGAAATAATAGTATTTGCTACATGGAGCTTCAGGTTTGTTTTTTTACCCCAAAAAGTAGTATTGTGACTATAAATTATACACCAGATGGCATCAGTAATTGCATTAAAGTAAAACCATTTATGTTAATATACTTAAATTTATGTTTTTCTAAAGCCTCCAAGGACTATTACGATTTCCTTGTCCCTTTCCAGGTTAAATGTTCTAACGGATTAATAAACATTTAAGAACCTTAAGGAAAATCAGTAAGAAAAGGAGATTTGACATTTATGAAAATGTTTTTCTAGTTTCTGCTACTGGGTTGGCTTTAACGAGGTCACTGTTACGTGATATCGAGTCAGAACCACCTCAGAGCTCACCCTCCGGCAGGCTTCAGAGGCTGTCTCACACACACACACACACACACACACACGCGCGCACACCCACGCGTGCACGCGCGGAAACTGCCCATCTCTCCCATGGAACAGTGGATTCAAGCCACAACTCTGGGCTATCAGTACAACACCTTACAGAGTACTGAGAATGATTATTAAAACTTCAAATCTAATATGCAATTAAGTCCCAATTCCTCCATTTACCAGTTACACAACAAGAAGATTTGACTTATCTGAAACTACTTTCTCATCTCTAAGGGGGATTAGAATTAATCCTACTTCTCTACCATTAAAAAGGAACCAACTCACAACATTATCAGTAGATTTTTGTAAGTGCTAAGTATAATAAAAACAAAAACTGAAGTATGTTAAACATACCTGTCTCCCACAGAAAAAAATCTTTCTTAAAGGTTAAGATGCTGGAAAATGCCTAAAATTTTCTTAATATAGAATAAAAAAATGCAACACTAGTAAACAATGCAAAAAAAAATTATACAGCAAAAGGATGGAGGGGAGAAATACTTCATTCATTACTTCTCAAAATACAAAAATATATTCTAAATAGCAGCAAATTCTGAGACTTTAAAGTACCACATCCCAGATAAAAAACAGCTTTTCGTTTTAAATCAAACTATAGTATATTTCCAGTTTCAGGGAAGTAAATCCACTCATTGTCTTTTTTAACTTTTAACATGATTCTCAAATGATTGGGTTTTTTTTACACAAAAGATTAGCATGACACCCCAAAAATGCTTATGTCGGAATAATGAAGATTAGCATGAATGATGTGGCCACCTATGGACACTGTAAGGGTCAAGACGCTAATTAGCTTGTGGACAAGATACCACAACTATCAAAACAGACAGGCTTCTAGTTTGGGACAAATCCAGCTGTAAGCACGTTTAGCAGTTCAACCTACTGGCTTGAAGTCAAGTCTACTTTAAAATCAGTTAATAATGTTGCTGTGTGCTGTCAAATCAATGCAAACTTACAGCAGCACCACAGATGAGAACTGCCCCACAGGGTTTCCTTGTCTCCAGTCTTCACAGACGCAGACTGCCACAATTTCCCCAGGGTGGCTGGGAGCTTCAAGTCACCTCCCTTACAGGTTAACAGTCACTGCACCACGAGGGCGGGCTCCTTAGTACCTTTCCCACTCTATGTATCTACCAGACACTAGGAAGTTCTAGCCCGTAAGGAGTTAAACTGCCATCCCCAAGGCCTGTGGTTCAAATACACCAGCTACTTCTCAGGAAGAAGATGGGCAACGACCTCCCCTGCTGAAAATCTGCTCCAGGGTGAGTCTGTCCCAACTAGACAGTGCATAACAACAACAGCAAACACTGGCAGAGGAATTTCAACAAAGTATTAACAGATCCTTTGGGGAAAAGCAAGAAGAAAATGGGAATGTTGTTTTGTTATGTTCTGTGGAGTTGGAAACAACTCATAGCTGACCCTCCGGTGGATTTTCACAGGCAGTTAAATCACACAGGAGCTGACGGCCCAACTTTCTTCCGTTCAACAGCTACCTGGTAGATTGAAACCACAGGCTCCAGGATCAGCAGCTCAATGCCTTACCACTTATCTTCATCTACAATTCACAAGAAAATCACTGTAACTAAATTTCTATCAAAATCTTTCAGGTACCTAATATGGCACAGAACATCAAGTCTGAAGATATGACGTTTCTGAGAATAAGATTCAATTAGTCCTGTAATGTGCTTCACTTGTTCTACAACACTGCAAAGGCAGAGATTTCAAAAAATTAAAATAATGGAAAATTAAAGCAATAAAAACTAAATGTGGCCAACCTTCTTGTAAAAATGAAGCTAAAGAACACATATCCAAATGCTCATAAGGATGCCTGTCCTAGCCATTGTTACTGTGTACTAATTATAATCAAGTATATAGATACCAATATCATCAAGTATATAGATACCAAATCTGCATTACCAAAATCTGGTAGCTGAAGATCCGAGTTTAGGCTAGTAATACTACAAAAGAAGTCAAGATTTCTGTGTCACCACGCAGTCCAGTCTGATTAAGTCCTAACTGACCCTTCATTGAGTTTTCAAGGCTATGATTTGCAGGGGAGGAATATACACTGCTGGATTTGAACTAGCAGAAGTGTTTCTGGGTTAGCAGTGCAACTCCCTCTGGACTAGGCCACCAGAGTCCTCTACTGTGTCAACAGGTTTCTCTAGTAATCTATTTTTTTTTTAGCTTAAAATTACTTTTTCTTTATTCTTGGTCAATACTTTTTACAAATATCTCATTCTTTTTAAAAAAAAAAATCTTCCACAAATTCTTTAAGGAAATCTGTCTTTTCCATTTGTTTCCAATACCCATATAAGCCTTATCCATATCAAAGTATGGAAACAATACCTGATATTCGAAGCCTGGAAAATGTTCTTAGGAGCCTACCACCAGCAGAATGGTTTTGTTGAATGTGCACCATTTGTAAATTATTTTACAACTTATTAACAACATGTAAATTATCTGAAGTCCTAAGAAAACAGTTTTACGTAGTGAAGTCATTCTGTTGGCTAACAATCTTGCCAGAGCCATTTGCACTCTCTGGATTTAATTCATTTTGTCTGTAAAATGGGAATAACCTGATTCTTTCCTCAAGGTTGTTTGGAAGGACAAATGAGAACACGTCTGGGAAAAACACTTTCAAAGTGCATTACAAACACATTACACAGTGGTCAGTATTTTTGTTGTTGCATAAGCAGCAACTGTTTCTTAACAAATACGTAGTCACAGTTATATTCTAAATATGGGATTCTGATAGCAATGTAAACCATCGCTGGATTAAAATACAATTACTTGCCTTGGATTGAGTTCTCTGTCCACTTTTCGTACTGAATTTCTCCTTCATTTCCTCTAAGATGATCTTCAATTTCTTTTCTTCGGGTGTTCCTAAGTATTTTTGGTTGACATGAATGTAACAATGCCATTTGGCTGATTCAAAGCCCCAGTGGCAAGTGCGCTTGTCAGGTGATCTGTGTGAGTGCATCACAAACGTCTGAGGTGCAAACATTCCACAGCATTCCAGACACTGAATACAGGGAGCATCTGGCTGAACGTAAAACTGGGGTGCAAACAGACCCTGACATTTGCCCAAGCATTCATGTTCCACTTCAAAGGCACTGCCAGTTTCCTTTAACTGGGCCAATGAGGTTTTAACAGGAAGCATGCTACCACTTTTAGGGAAAGTACGAGGTCGTAATAACGCATTACATAGTCTCTGTGCATCAGTTAACGTGATCAGCCCACAGGATGGTGCGTTGAAGGGGAGTATTCCCAGGACCTTTAAGATATGAAGCTGCTCTGAAGTACACCTTGAACAGTATATGTATAGTTCATCACAGACTGTGTTTATTTGCTGGAGGGAAAACTCTCGGAGCACAGAATTTAAGACCTGGGGCAGACAGAGTCTCTTTTCTCCTCCAACCTGAAAACAAGAAATAGATTCCCTCTCCAACAGAGTCTGGGTGAGTTCAGTGGAACTATCAGAAGGGATGAGCAGTGGGCCAGGAAGAACTTCAGGAGACGGTAGAGGGAGAAACACAGTAGGTGACATACTTCCTTGGGAATACCGAGCGGAAAATGCCGCTGGTCCTCCTAATGAACTCTGACTACTTAAATGGAATTGCGCCAATGTGTGTTTCAAACTGGGATTTAAACTTAAAGGCTCAGGCCCAGAGGCACAAGTTTGCTTGACATGGTCCTCATCCATTCCCACTGGTGCCCCTCCATAACCATCCAAATGCTCTTTCTTGACCGTTGACACCTTATTCAGCAGCATTTTTCCATGTGCATGACTGTCTGTCATCATTTTTTTCACCGGAGGGCTGTCATCGTCTTCCATCTCCTTCAGTTTTTTGCCTGAATTTTGAACCAAGGAGAAACTGGCCTGCAAGTTTTCCATTGTTCGGTTACTGCTTTAGAAAATTAAGTCTGAGATTTGCATTTTTATTTAGCTGCTTCTTTGATGGGGGGGGGGGGAAGGATATCAATACTTATGGTAAATTAATCTTCAAGAAAGTTGCAAATTTCCAGAGAGAGATCCTTAAGAGATAGGGCAACTTTGCTTTTCTTTGTGTAACTCCAGTAAGACGACAGCTCATAAGAAACACAACAATAAGGAAGTCTGTGTGCTTGCCCAAATTCTTTAGGTGTTTTAAAATTAAGTTACCAATTCTCTCAATTTAATATGTCCAGATGCAATTCAATTTTTCTTAAGCCAAACACGTGGAAAGTTATAAAAACCAACACAAGTCAAAACAATGTGGCCAAATTTAATTTAAAACCAAACAAGGAGGAAAAAAAAATGTATCTCTTGATAATAATTTTTTAAAAAGTGGTTGGTGTTGCCAAATTGAAGGCTTTGTATAAATCCTCACACCAGGAAGAGTCTGGCACCACTTGCATTTTACAGTCAACAATGATACTGAGACAAAAACCGCCGTTTGCTTCAAGGATTACAGTTCATTCTTCTTTCAATTAATCTGGAGGAAGAGAAGGGGGGGTGGGGGAAAGTTACATTTGAATTTGCTCCAGAGGCCAAAGGGTCAGTCTGAAATGAGTTTCTTAATCTTAAACTAAGTTCACTTTACCAAAGGTGACATGTCAGTGATTTCTTTAAATCTAACACCAGTTAACTTTAAGAACCTTTCTTTAAATAGCAAAGGCAAGGAAAGGATTTCTAATTTCCTTAAAAAGTAGAGGGTTGCTCTTCAAACTCAACATAAAGAACCTTAAACAGAAACCTCTAACAGCTCAGAACCAGAGGTTTGTTCTCAAGTCTGTCATTTTCGTTTAAGTAATCTGTTTTTCCTTTTCTGATTTAAAAAAGCCAGTCCCATCCAAAAATTAAGTGCACATTAACATATCTACCATATGTAACTGAATTAGACTCTTCAATTACTTCATCTAGCCATTCTTCTGGAATGACTGCAGGCAAAGATTAACTTTTCCCTAAAAGAAGTAAGCGCGTTTGTTTCATGGAAAGCCAAGAGCTATAGACTCAATGCCTGAGCAAATCGACATCCTTGAACAAGTCTAATCTGGACAAAAAAAAAAGCACAAGGCAGACAGACCTCACAAAGAATGCAAATGGAGGAAGAGAGAGAGAAAATATTCTTCATCCACTTCCTCAAAAGAAAACCCAGAAGAAATGCAACAAATGGAAACCTGGGTCCCAAACTCCAAGCAGTGCACCTTCAAAAAAGTCCCAAAGGGCTGGAGAGCCAGGCTGCTGCTCACTGACTTCCTCTAACCAAGTCAAGGCAGGGGGGGCAGGAGGCATGACCCAGCATGGGGACCCCCCCCAAACCCCAGCCGTCGTCGGCCTGCGCATCACCCGCCTGGGGGGGCCAGGGACCCGGGCACATGGGGTGGTGCAGGTGGGCAGGAGGAGGGGAGTCCCCCACGACAACCCCCACTGCCCTCCCAGCCCGGCCCCACTGGGGAAAGCCCCGGTGAGCGGCCTCCCCGGGAAGTCCTGGGGTGTGGGGGGCCCCAGCGCCCCCGGGGCCGCGCCTGCCCGCCGGGCTGGAGAGGGGCGCGCGCCCGGCCGGGCTCCCCGACGGCGGTGACCGGGTCGTGACCGGGGAC